ACACTGGCCGCAGGTACTCCTGGAATCAACCTCGCTCCAGTCTGAGCCCACATCTTGCTGGACAAGGAGGAAATTCCTGCTCCTCCAGGGAAAGGCCACCTTAGAACCCATCCAGGAGGTCGGTGCTGCCGCCGGGAAAATGGAGGCAGGAGGGCCGGTGGGACCCTGGCGGGCCGCTCACTCCCATAGGCCTGTGAGGCTCGCACCCTGCCCCAGGCTGCCGTGGGGGCCTTTGTGCCCTTCCTAGGGACCAGCCTCCTGGCCTCAGAGGCCTGCCCCAGCTCCCTGGAGAGCAGAAGCAGCCTCTGCTCCTCCGCCTCCTCCCATCTCCCTCTTGCTCCCCCCTCCCAGGGTCTGAGGGGCTAGGACTCAGGGAGGCACGAAGTCAGGAAGGGCCTGGGGCCAGCCTCGGCCTCTCCTGAAACCCAGAGGTTCCCCTGAGGCCAGGGGCCCAAAGAGGACAGGCCCATGACCTTCTTGGAATGAGAGGGAAAGGAAAAATGCATCGGTCTAGATGGGAGTGAGTATGGGAGGAAACCATCATGCCACAGGGAGAAGAAACAGGACGGTCCGCCCTCTTGCCGGAGCTTCCGGAACTTTCCCTGTGGCCTCCAGCGTGCCCCCTCAGAGCTAGAGTTCCCTTGGTTGTACAAAGTGTGGGCAGGCCTGAGTGACCTCCAATTAAAGCAGCCCCAGGCTGGCGCCGTGGCTCAATAGGCTAATCCTCTGCCTGGGGCGCCAGCACCCTGGGTTCTAGTCCCGGTCGGGGCGCCGGATTCTGTCCCAGTTGCCCCTCTTCCAGGCCAGCTCTCTGCTATGGCCCAGGAGGGCAGTGGAGGATGGCCCAAGTGCTTGGGCCCTACACCCGCATGGGAGACCAGGAGAAGCACCTGGCTCCTGGCTTCGGATCAGTGCGGTGCGCCTGCTGCAGCGCGCCAGCCATAGCAGCCATTTGGGGGTGAACCAATGGTAAAGGAAGACTTTCTGTCTGTCTCTCTCTCTCACTGTCCACTCTGCCTCCTGTCAAAAAAAAAAAACAAAACAAAAAAAAAAAAAACAGCCCCAGACCCTAGACCCTGCGGAGGCCCTTCCCTGCCCCACAGGCCACACCCTTGTCATGGCTGCCGACAGAGCTGGACGGCGGCCTGTTGGGCTCATCTGTGAGGTGCCCGGCTGCCCCAGGGGTCAGCATGGCCCCTCACAGACACTGCGGAGCTGCGTGCACACTTGGACCTGTTTACGTTCTGTGCAGAAAGGAAAGGCCCAGCTGGAGTGGCCAGGGCTGGCCGGACCCCCAAGCCAAGCTCTCCAGCTTTCTGGGTCTGTACCTTCAGTGGGGTAGAGAAACCGAAAGTCAGCTACAGGCGTGGAAAACCCTCCCTAAGTAGCCTTCGGGGTCCCTATGTCCCTGAGGACAGAGGATGTGGGGAGGGTTAGGGGGCCATGGAGTCCCCTGGGGATTCAGCTTCCCTGGGGGTTGGCACAAGGCTCTCAGAGTGCTGGGGTCACTGGCTGGCCATGAGGCAGGGGACCCTGCCAGTGCACAGCCCGCAAAGGAGGCCCCAGAACAGTGCAGCTGGCTGCCTCACTGAGCCGGGTGGAACTTGGGTTTGGGTCCATCTGCAGGAGGACACACATGCTCTCTTCTGAGCCCATGAATGGGAGGAAAGCCGACATGCCTGCAATGGTACTGCTCAAGCATCCCCCGGGAGTTCCTGTGACATCCTTCCTCCTTACCCCTCACCTACTCCTGCTGATCCACCTGTCTCCTTCCTATGAGGTGAGTGATCCGTGGAGAAAAAAATCCCAAGACCTGGTGGCCCTCAACAGTGTGCCTCATCCAACTTCTTTTAAAATTTATATTTATTTTTATTTATTTATTTTTATTTGACAGGCAGAGTTAGACAGTGAGAGCGAGAGACAGAGAGAAAGGTCTTTCTTCCGTTGGTTCACCCCCCAAATGACCACTACAGCCGGAGCTACGCTGATCCGAAGCCAGGAGCCAGGTGCTTCTCCTGGTCTCCCATGCGGGTGCAGGGCCCAAGCACTTGGGCCATCCTCCACTGCCTTCCCGGCCACAGCACAGAGCCGCACTGGAAGAGGAGAAACTGGGGCTATAACCCAGCACCCATATGGGATGCCGGTGCCACAGGTGGAGGATTAACCAAGTGAGCCAATGCGGCGGCCCCTAAAATTTATTTAAAAAAAAAAAAATTTTAGGCCGGCGCCGTGGCTCAATAGGCTAATCCTCCACCTTGCGGCGCCGGCACACCGGGTTCTAGTCCCGGTCGGGGCGCCGGATTCTGTCCCGGTTGCCCCTCTTCCAGGCCAGCTCTCTGCTATGGCCAGGGAGTGCAGTGGAGGATGGCCCAGGTGCTTGGGCCCTGCACCCCATGGGAGACCAGGAGAAGCACCTGGCTCCTGGCTCCTGCCTTCAGATCAGCGCGGTGCGCCGGCTGCAGCGGCGGCCATTGGAGGGTGAACCAACGGCAAGGGAAGACCTTTCCCTCTCTGTCTCTCTCTCTCACTGTCCACTCTGCCTGTCAAAAATAAAAAAAAAAATAAAAATAAAAAAAATAAAATAAAAAAAATATTTTAAAGATTTATTTATTTGGGCCAGCACCACGGTTTTACTAGGCTAATCCTCCACCTGCGGGCACCAGCACCCTGGGTACTAGTCCCGGTTGGGGCGTCGGTTCTGTCCCGGTTGCTCCTCTTCCAGTCCAGCTCTCTGCTGTAGCCCAGGAAGGCAGTGGAGGATGGCTCAAGTGCTTGGGCCCCTGAACCTGCATGGGAGACCAGAAGGAAGCACCTGGCTCCTGGCTTCGGATTGGCACAGCGCACTGGCCACAACACACCGGCCGTAGCAGCCACTTGGGGGGTGAACCAACGGAAAAAGGAAGACCTTTAAGACCTTTCTGTCTCTCTCTTGCTAACTCTGCCTGTCCAAAAAAAAAAAAAAAATATATATATATATATATATATTTGAAAGTCAGAGTTACACAGAGAGAGGAGAGGCAGAGAGAGAGAGAGTCTTCCATCCACAGGTTCACTCCCTAAATGGCTGCAGTGGCCACAGCTGCCACAGTAGAGAGCTGGATCTGAAGTGGAGCAGCTGGGACTTGAACTGGTGCCCATAAGTGATACTGGCACTGCAGGCGGCAGCTTTACCTGCTATGCCACAGCACTGACCCTCATCTCATTGTTTTTTCTTCTTTTTTTTTTTTAAGATTTATTTATTTATTTATTTGAAAGAGTTACACAGAGAAAGGAGAGGCAGAGAGAGAGAGAGAGAGAGAGAGAGGTCTTCCATCCGATGGTTCACTCCCTGTTGGCCACAACGGCCAGAGCTGCACCGATCCGAAGCCAGGAGCATCTTCCAGGTCTCCCATGCGGGTGCAAGGGCCCAAGGACATGGGCCATCTTCTCCTGCTTTCCCAGGCCACAGCAGAGACCTGGATTGGAAGTGGAGCAGCTGGGACTATAACTGGCACCCATATGGGATGCCGGTGCTCAGGCCAGGGTGTTAACCCACTGTGTCACAGCACCGGCCCCATATTTTTAAAAATTTTACTTAAGGGGCAGAGACAGAGAGCTACCATCTGCTGGTTCACTCACAAATGCTCTTTTTTTTTTTTTTTAATTATTATATTTATTTGAAGGGCAGAGTGAGAGAGAAAGAGGTTTTTCAACCACTTGTTCACTCCTCAAATGGCTGGAACGACCAGAATTGGGCCAGGCCAAAGCCAGGTGCTTCATCTGGGTCTCCCACCTGGGTGAAGGGCTCCAAGGACCTGGGCCATCCTGCACTTCCCCAGGCACATTAGCAGGATCAGAAGTGGAGCAGCCAGGACTTGAGCCAGCGCCCATTTAGGATGCTTCCATTTCAGGCAGAGGCTTAACCTATTATGTTACAACGCCAACCTCTTAAGCGCTCTTTGTATGAGAGAGTCAGAAAGGTCTTAAGACAGGCAGAGTTGGTGAGAGAGAGAGAGACAGAGAGAAAGGTCTTCCTTCCGTTGGTTCACCCCCCAAATGGCCGCTATGGAGCCAGGAGCCAGGTGCTTCCTTCTGGTCTCCCATGCAGGTTCAGGGGCCCAAGCACTTGAGCCATCCTCCACTGCCTTCCTGGGCTACAGCAGAGAGCTGGACTGGAAGAGGAGCAACCGGGACAGAACCGGCGCCCCAACCGGGACTAGAACCCGGAGTGCTGGCACTGCAGGTGGAGGATTAGCCTAGTGGGCCGCAGCGCTGGCCCTTAACTGCTCTTAATAGACCAGACTGGACCTGGCCAAAGCCAGGAGCTGGGAACTCAACCCAGGTCTCCCTCGTGAACGGCAGGGACCCAATTACTTGAGTCATTACCTGCTGCCTCCTAGGTTATGCATTAGGAGGAAGCTGGAATTGATAGTGGAACCAGGGCTTGAACCCAGGCTCTTGGATATGGGATATGGACATCTTAACTGCCAGGCCAAATGCCTGCCTCTCCTCCAACTTTCTTGATGAACTTATAGAAAAATGCTTCCTTACTTAACCAATTCTTACCTTTGCCAGACTCACTTGGGGAGTGAACCAGCAGAATGGAAGACCTCTCTCCCTGTGGCTCTACCTCTCTCTGTAACTCTGTCTTTCAAATAAATAAAATAATTCTGAAAGAAAGAAAGAAAGAGAGAGAGAGAGAAAGAAAGACAGGCAGGCAGAGCTATAGAGAGGAGAGAGAAAGAGATGTCCCATCCACTGGTTCACTCCTCAAATGACCGCTCCAGCCAGGGCTGTGTCAGATCGAAGCCAGGGCCATCTGCTGCTGCTGCTGCTTTCCCAGGCGCATTAGCAGGGAGCTGGATCAGAAGTGGAGCAGCTGGGCCCTGCAGGCAGCGACTTGACCTCCTGCACCACAGTGCTGGCCATGGCAATTTCTTTTTCTTTGTACTTGTGAAGACTTTCTCAGGTGGAACTGGGCCAGGCACTGTGAGAGTACAACAGAAATCCTCATTTTGCAGATGGTCACACAACAGCCCAGAGGTGCAAAGGACCTCGCCCAAGGTCACACAGCTATGGGGCGGTCTGGACCCTGGAGCTTGAGCTTCCTGCCTTTCAGCTTCGTGCTCTTTCGACAGCCTCTTACACAACTTACTGTGTGGTTGGAGAAGCAGGAATCACTCCTCTGAGACAATCACAGAAGTTGCAGAGGGGAGCAGAGTTCCCCGCGCTGGTGATTTCCCACCCACATTGGCCTCCTGCCAGTATCTTCATGCTGTTTACTTGTGAGTGCTTCTCTGGGGGTTGCATTTCTCTTTTGAGAAACTGGGAATTTCCATAATAATAATAAAAAAGACTCGGTAAAATTGAATTCTTATACCCCACCCCACACTACCAGTTCTTGTTTCTTCTCTGTGCGTGTGTTTTCTAAGGGGCTATTCTAGCACTTTCTATCTTCAGACCATTTCACATAGGTGGATATGAGTTGGCATTTTCTGTGTGTGCTTTGAATGGGGCACAATGACAGAGGAGGGGAACGGTGAGGAGGGTGGAGAGGCCACATCAGGCCATTCTGCTGGCTGGGGCCGCTCCATGCCTGGAGAGCCAGGGGGCTGCCATGTCCCGGATGAAAGGAAGGAGGCTGGGGAGGGCTTCGGTAACCCACAGCATACAGGTGTGGAAGTCTTCTGAATTAGGGTCATTGTCACCCATCATTGTCAATGTCTGCACATTCATTCACTCATTTGTTTTGTAGAACAGTTAAGAAATAATGACTTAGGGGCTAGCGCTGTGGCATAGCGGGGAAAGCTGCCACCTGTAGTGCTGGCATCCCACATGGGCGCCAGTTTGAGTCCCAGCTGCTCCACTTCCAATCCAGCTCTCTGTTATGGCCTGGGAAAGCAGTAGAAGAATGCCCAAGTCTTTGGGCCCCTGCACCCACATGGGAGACCTGGAGGAAGCTCCTGGCTCCTGGCTTCGGATCAGTGAAGCTCCGGCCATTGCGGCCAGTTGGGGAGTGAACCAGCAGATGGAAGACCTCTCTCTCTCTCTCTGCCTCTCCTTCTCTGTATAACTCTGACTTTCAAATAAATAAAAATAAATCTTTTTCTTTTTAGAAAAGAAATTACCTCTTGGGGGCAGGCATTTGGCACAATGGTGAAGATACTGCTTGGGACGTTCGCTTCCTATACTGGAGTGCCTGAGTTCAAGTTCCCAGCTCCAGCTGCCTGCTATTGTGCCCCCTGGGAGGGAGCGAGTAATAGCTCAAGTACTTGGGTCCCTGCCATCCATGTGGGAGACCAGGATGGAGTTCTGGACTCCTGACATCAGCCTGGCCCAGCCCTGGCTGGTGTAGGCATTTTGGGGAGTGAACCAGTGCATACAAGATGCCTCTCAATTTTAAATAAATAAATAGAAATTTAAAATCACCTCCGGGCAGAAGTTCTGTGTCAGGACCAGCCAGGGCTTGTTTCATACCCAGCCAAATGGCGTGGTTATATTCCCTCCTACTTAGGAGAGAATTCAGCCCCTCCATGGCCCAAGGCCTGCCTGAGGGCTCCCAGTTAGCCTCAAGGGTGCCAGAGTTGACTCCTGGCAGGTGGCTGCAGGGGCTGGTTTCTGAGCCTCCTGGGATTGGGCATCAGGGTGAAGTTTCCTGTTCACATGACCAACTCATCCAGATCCGACGGGAGGGAGTGAGGCGCTGCGGGGCTGGGCCTCACTCCCAAGGAAGATGCCTGCAGTCAGGGTGAGAGCAGTGGTGGAGGCCCAGAGCTTGCCACCCCTCCTGACCTGCACCCTAACACTGTGGGAGCAGCTGGTCAGCGTGTTGGGGGCGGGGCCACAGTGGTCACGTGTCTAACTCCTGACCTCTGGAGCGGTGAGTCCCGCAGATGGTATCTCGGTGCTTGGCCCCTCGTGAGGCAACAGAGGAGGGTGGGGGCTGAGAGAGTAGGAGGCGCACCAGTTCTTCTTTTGCGCTGTTTAGCAACTTCCGTGACTTTGGAGCAAGAACAGGTGTAACCCCCTCATGCCCTGAGGTATGCCGTCTCCAACACCTGCCTGTGGCCCTGTGGCTACGCAGAAATTGACCCTGGCTCAGTCAGAGCAAGTCCAAAACCAGAAGTAAATTCACGGACCACTGGGGAGGCCGTGGAGGCAGTCAATCAGCTGCCCTTCCAGCCCCCGGGCCCGTCAGCCAGCGCAGTCTTTGAGCACCTCCCATGTGCCGTGTGTAGTGAGGAGTGTTCTGGCTTGTAGCTCCTTCACACTCCATCCTCTCCCCTGTACACTCAGCAAGGCCCACATGTTCCCAGTGAGGCCACGGGACCACTTTCCATCTTGTGGTGCCTCTGTCCTGGGCCCCCAGCTTCCGCTTGTCCGAGGATCAGGCCTTAGCCTGGACTATCCTGGCAGCGTCTTGGTGGTGGTACTGCCAGGCCTGTGAGCCAGGGCCTGCTCTGCTGGGCGGTGGCACATGGCACTGTAGGGCAGCTGCCTGACAAGAGATGTGACAGGGTGTGAAGCTGTCATGATTCCATGACCCGGCCTCCTGGGGACAGCCTGACCTCATGGCTCCACGCCCTCCAGCATGGTTGCCACCAGAACTGGAACCTTCCCAAACTCTGCTCTGGAGCAATCCAAGACTCCTGCCCCTGCAATCCAAGCCTCTCCTAAGAGTTCTTTTTTTTAATAAATAAAAATTTATTTATTCATTTGAGAAGCAGAGTTAGAGAGAGATCTTCCATCTGCTGGTTCACAATGGCCACAGCAGCCAGAAACTCCCTCCAGGTCTCCCACGTGGCTTCCCAGCTGCATTAGCAGGGAGCTGGATTGGAAGTGGAGCATCCAGGGCTCGAACTGGCACCCGTGTGGGATGCTTGCACTGCAGGTGGTGGCTTTACCCACAGTGCCATGATGCTGACCCAAGCCACCCATCACCACCCCACCCTCCGCTTGCTCAGCTTCCAGGCCTCCAGCTGCTTGCTGCCTCCTGCCCGGTCCCTCCTCCTCCAGGTGTTTGGAGACACCTGCACTCCATTTGGGAATGCCTGGGTTTGGGTCCTGCCTTTGCTTCCGATTCCAGTTTTCCACAGATGTGAGCCCTGGGAGACAGCAGGTGACAACTCAAGTGGATGGGTCCCTGCCACCCTTGTGGGAAGACACAGAGAGTTCCTGGCTGCTGGTGTCAGCCAGTCTCAGGCCCAGCTGTTGTGGGCATTTAAAGAGTAAACCTGCATATAGAAGATCTCTCTCTCTCTCTCTCTCTCTCTCTCTCTCTGCCTTTCAAATAATTGAAGACAAATTTAAAAAGAAAAGTGTCAACCAACATTCATGATGGGAGAACACTCACTTATCACTTTTATAGTCATACAGTTCATAATAATATCCACATTCTTCCCCATACCAACACCCCACTAGGCAGGTGACTTTCTAGAAGGCTTCCCAGGACAGGGAGGGAGTCCCCGATGGCAGGAGGCCCCTAGGAGGGGTGTTCGGGTGCAAGATAGACTCCAAGCCAGCAAAGGAAGCTGGACAGAGGAGGCTGGGGTGGAGAGGGCCTGGCCCAGGGGGCAGGGCAGGTGGCTTTCTCAGCCCAGTAGGAGGCAAGGCACCATAGGAGAGCAAGAGGCAGAGAGATGAGGTGCTGAAGGGCTGTGAGGGCTTGGCCTCAGTGGTCAGCGTGGGGCCCACAGAAGGGAGCTGGGAGGACGTGGAGGCCAAGAAGGCTGCTGAGCCAGGGGGAAGCCAGAGGCTGAGGGTTCCAGCCCCCAGAGCGGGAGGGTGGAGCGCAGAGCAGGTGGAGCGGGACCAGCTTGGGTAGTCCCCCAGGACAATTCCAGGAGGGAAGCAGGACTCTGCCTGCAGCCAGTGAGTGGCTGACTCGGGATTTGAACTCCAGGTCACCTGGCTCAGCTGATAAGGCAGGGGACTGTGCAGAGCTGAATCATCCATGGCAAAGCCCCCCAGAGGAGGCAAGTTCAAGTTGCTCCTGTTTGGAGATGGCCAGGGCAGGTGTAGCCACATATCAAGGGCTTGAGGGCATCGGAAGGCTTAGCAAAGCCACCTCACATCTCTGGCCCCAATCTGGCGTCCACCTTCCAGCACATTCCTACCGCCTGATGCTCTCTCTACTCTTCCTTGTCCAGGGAATGCAACTGTGGCACATTGGCACTTACTTTTTAAAGAATATTGAATAATTCATTTTTACCATATTTTTAAGAAGCAAAGTCCATCACAGATCGGAAGTTTACAGAGGTGTTCCCATCCCTTAGAACATCCGAGAAGCCCTGTCCTACCCAGCCCTGCTACTCACATTGCTTCCCTGCTGCAAACCCTTTGTGATCCCCACCAGCTGGAACGAAGGGTGGGGACCAAGTAGAGGTTGGGGAGATTGATCTAGTGTGGCATTACTGGCATCAAGAAGAGGAGAATTTCAGTCAAATAGAAAATATCAGAATATGAATAGATTACATGCAGTAAATTTTGTTTCAGTTATTTATTTTCATTTTATTTGAAAGGCAGAGACAGAAAGGTAGATAGAGATCCTCCATCTGCTGAATGACTACCTACATGACTGCAACAGCCAGGGCTGGGCCAGGCCGAAGACAGGAGCCCAGAACTTAATCAAGGGCTCCTCCATGGCGGGCAGGCACTCAAGTGATGGAGCCATTACCCGCTGCCTCCCAGAATGCACAGGAGCAGGAAGCTGGAGTTGGAAGTGGAGTAGCCGGGACTCAAACCCAGGCACTCTGAAGCAGGACATGGGATTCCCAAGCAGTGACTTAGTCACTGCGCCAAACAAGTGTACGAATTTCTTTTTTCTTTTTTTAGAAAACTTTTATTTAATAAATATAAATTTCATCAGTACAACTTTTGGATTATAGCAGTTCTTCCCCGATAACCACCCTCCCACCCACAAACCTACTCCCTCTCCCATCCCATTCTTCATTAAGATTCATTTTTAATTATCTTTATATACAGAAGATCAACTTAATATATACTAAGTAAAGATTTCAACAGATTGTACCCACACAGACACACAAAAGTATAAAGTACTGTTTGAGTACTAGTTTTACTGTTAATTTGCATAGTACAATACATTAAGGACAGAGATCCTACATGGGGAGTAAGTGCACAGTGTCTCCTGTTATTGACACTCTTTTTTATGATGTCAGTAATCACCTGAGGCTCTTGTCATGAGTTGCCAAGGCTATGGAAGCCTCTTGAGTCCACAAACTCCAACCTTATTTAGACAAGGCCATAATCAAAGTGGAAGTTCTCTCTTCCCTTCAGAGAAAGGTACCTCCTTCTTTGATGGCCCCTTCTTTCCACCGAGATCTCACTCACAGAAATCTTTCATTTAGGTCATTTTCTGCCACAGTGTCTTAGCTTTCCATGCCTGAGAAACTCATGGGCTTTTTAGCCAGATCTGAATGCCTTAAGGGCTGATTCTGAGGCCAGAGTGTTGTTTAGGGCATTTGCCATTCTATGAGTCTGCTGTGTATCCCGCTTCCCATGTTGGGTCATTCTTTCCTTTTTAATTCTAACAATTATTAGCAGACACTGGTCTTATTTATGTGATCCCTTTGATACTTAATCCTATCTTTATGATCAATTATGAACTTAAACTGATCACTTTAACTAGTAAGATGGTATTGGTACCTGCCAACTTAATGGGATTTGGAGTCCCATGGCACGTTTCTAGCACTACCATTAGGAGTAAGTCCCAGTGAGTATGTGCTGAACTGTACATCACCTCCCTCTCTTATTCACACTCTTATTTTTAACAGGGATCAATTTTCAGTTAACTTTAAACACCTAAGAATAATTGTGTGTTAAGAGTTCAACCAATGGCATTAAGTAGAAAAAGAAAATACTAAAAAGAATAGAATAGTAAGCTGTTCCTGAACAGTCAAGACAAGGGCTGATCAAGTCATTGTTTCTCATAGTGTCAGTTTCACTTCTACAGGTTTCCTTTTAGGTGCTCAGTTATTTGTCACAGATCAGGGAGAACATATTATATTTGTCCCTTTGGGACTGGCTTATTTCACTCAGCATGATGTTTTCCAGATTCCTCCATTTTGTTGCAGATGACCAGATTTCATTTTTTTTAACCACTGTGTAGTATTCTAGAGAGTTCATATCCCATAATTTCTTTAGTCTTCTGTTGATGGGCATTTAGGTTAATACCCTGTCTTAGCTATTGTGAATTGAGCTACAATAAACATTGAGGTGCAGACAGCTCTTTTGTTTGCCAATTTAATTTCCCGTGGGTAAATTCCGAGGAGTGGGATGGCTGGGTCGTGTGGTAGGGTTATGTTCAGGTTTCTGAGGAATCTCCAGACTGTCTTCCATAGTGGCTTTACCAGTTTGCATTCCCACCAACAGTGGATTAGTGTGCCTTTTTCCCCACATCCTCACCAGCTTCTGATGGTAGTTGATTTCTGTATGTAAGCCGTTCTAACTGGGGTGAGGTGAAACCTCATGGTGTTTTGATTTGCATTTCCCTGATTGCTAGTGATCCTGAACATTTTTTCATGTGTCTGTTGGCCATTTGGATTTCCTCTTTTGAAAAATGTCTGTTTAGGTCCTTGGCCCATCTCTTAAGTGGGTTGTTTGTTTTGTTGTTGTGGAGTTTCTTGATCTCTTCGTAGATTCTGGTTATTAATCCTTTATCAGTTGCATAATTTGTAAATGTTTTCTCCCATTCTGTCGGTTGCCTCTTCACTCTCCTGACATTTCTTTTGCAGTAAGTATACGAATTTCATGTAATTTAATGCATCTGTGTATGCAATTAAGATGAAGAATGCCTTACTTACCAGGGCCACAGTAAAAAAAAAAAAAAAAGCCACAGTGGTCAGGCACTGCTTTGTGGGAAGAGGGTGAGGATGAGCTGGATTTGGACATCCTGGTTGTGTACGAGCAAAAGCCCAGAAACATCATGCCCTTCCCGTGACTTGGCCAGTGCTGCAGCTCTGGGAGTCTGCGTCCAGCCCTCGGGAGCGCTCAGGTGGCCTGAGGATGTAGTCCCGTGATGGGAGCTTAGAGGAGGGAGTCTCTAAGGAGGGGAAATCAAGGGGTCTCCTGGAGGTGGCAGTGCCTCAGCTGACTCCTGAGGGAAGCACTTGGGTCGTCAGAACAGGGGGTGGGGAGGACTCAGCTGGCGGATGAGTGTCTTGTGAAAAGGCTGGAGAATGCCTGTCCTGTCCGGGGCTCTGCAAGCATCGAGTGTAGGTGGAGCCCGTGCTAGCAAGGGAGGCTTCATTTTGGCATGAGGAGCCCTGGAGGAATTCCGAGCAGAGTGACTGAGTGGGCTCACATCTCTGGAGGATGACTCCCGCGGCCCTGAGGAGGGCAGATCAGCCCGAGGAGCCGACGAGTGGGGAGACCAGTGGGACAGCTACAGCACCAGGGCGGCCTGAACTAGGGCAGTGGAGTGAGGGCGGCTGGGGCGGGTGGGTGGAGGAGGAGACTCAGATCGGGTGGGGAGAGGAAAAGGGAGGTGTTGCTGACTCCACCCACTGGCTGGACAGTGGTGCCATGTGACCAGCACAGAGCACGGGCCGCAGAGGGTGGCTGGAGCGATGACAAGTGTGATGTTGAAAGGTGCGCTTGTGGGAGGGCGTGCCAGGTGGGCAGCAGGATGGAGGAGACAGGAGAGGCCAGGGATGCAGCCTGGGCATGAGGCCCCTGGCCTTGGAGGGTTCATAGTGCGAACTCTGGGAGCCACCTCTAGGATGTGCCCACAACAGACGGAGCCAGGTGGTCGTACAGATAGACCCTCCAACACCCGGGTCCCAGAAACCAGCAGGCAGAGAAGGCCTGGAGGAAAGTCCACAATGCAAAGGTTCACAAGACCCGAGTCCCCTGAGGCCGAGAGCACGCAAGTGGCAGCTTAACCTGCTGCACCACCACACCTGCCTCGAGTTTTATGTTATTTGAGAGGTAGAGAAAAGGAGAGTGGGGGAGATGGACAGAGAGAGCTCTCGTCGTTCGTTCACTCCCCAGTGCTCACGACTCAGTCTGGGTCTCCCACATGAGTGACAGGGACCCAAGTATTGAGAGACATCACCTGCTGCTTCCCAGAGTGCACAGGAGGAGGAAGTTGGAGTCGGGAGTGGAGCCAGGACTCGAACCCAGGCCCTCTGCTATGGGATGGAGGTGTCCTAGCCGGCATCTTAACCACCAGGCCAAATATCTGACCCAAGTTTCTTCACATTTAAATGACTTTCTTAGAGAAGATACCATTAAGATCATGAGTGGCTACCCCAAAGGCACTATTGTCTCTGCTTTGGTATGGTTCTTTCTGATCGTGTTTATGCATATGTATGAAATATGTTTAAAACAGTGAGTTTTTTTTTTCTTAAAAGATTATTTATTTGAAAGGCAGAGTGAGTGACAGAGAGAAAGAAGTATCTTCTGTCTGCTAGTTCATCCCCAGATGGCCTCAACAGCCAGGGCTGGGCCAGGCTGACGCCAGGATCTGTGAACTCCATCTGGGTCTCCCGTATGAGTGGCAGGGGTCCAAGCAGGCTTAACCCACTTGCGGACATCCATCAGACCATTTGTCTGCAGACTGACCCCGCCCGCAGAAGCCTTCCTGCCTGGGCGTCCACTTGCATGGAGGGCCCGGGTCTCACTCCCCAAGCCCTGCTCTGGATGGTCAGCCGCAGAATCAGCCCAAGCTTTTGACTCGTGGATGCCCTCAGTTCCTGGTTTTGGCGCTCAGGCAAGCTTCCCCTGGAACATTCCTTTGAGTTTTGTTTGTATTCGGTGCTGTTGGTTGATTGCTGGTGGGAGGCATTACCCAGTGCTCCCGGGGCCATCGTGTTGGCCCCCAGCCTCCCACTGTGTGTGGTGCGCCTCTCGCACTCGTCTCTGGATTCTCAGGATCTGCAGCTGAGATCTCACCTGTGAACTCGGGAGGGTAGGGCTCGGGTCTGATTCATCTCCCAGGGTGAGGCAGAGTCGGCCTCGATAAATGTGTGTGGAATTCCGTCAGCCCACTCACTCGGTGCTGTCCGTCGCCATGCATGCCATGGCTCTCCAAGCGCCGGACGCCGGATTGCACCAGCAGCCTGGTGCCCGGCACGTGGCAGCTGCTCACTGAATGCTGAGGCCATGGAGACTTGCACGCATGTCAGGGCTCTGCTGGGTTTGCCTGCTTCCCTTCCCTGCCTCTCCCGCTTCCTCTCATGCCGGAGGGAGGTGCCCCTCAGTGCCCGCCGCCCGCCACCTCCGAGTGTCAGGAGCAAAGCTGGCCTGGCAGTGGAGTCCGAAGAAGCAGCTCCCGGCCGAGAGGGTCCCGTGACATCCTCGCTCTCAGTGCTAGTGAGACCAGTTGGAGGTTGCCTCTGAGGCATTCAAAGCTGTATGCAAGTCCCACACATGTCCAGCTCCCAGCCGAGTTGTCCGCTCTCATTAGGAGCCCGCTCGGACCTGGAGATGACCCAGTACGTATCTTTCGGTTGCCTGAATAGTTCATAAATTGCAGGGACGTTTGTCAAAGGCAGTTTAATGTCCCCAAGGCTGTTTGGACCTGTCTTACAAGTCCTGCCCCCAACCTTGGCTGCGTGGCAGGGACCCTGTGGTGGGTGGGGGAGGGGAATAGGGTCTGCCTGGGTCTTTCCTTGGAGCCCTGGACCTCCGTGGTCTGAGGAGGGTGGCAGGAACTGGGACAGGAAGGGATGAGGGCTTGGTCAGGGTGAGGGCACAAGGAACTGAGGAAAAGGTTCCCACCCAGTTGGGAGGGCTGGGCCCTGGGTAGGGGACAGGAGAGGCCTTCAGGATGTCTTAGTAATCTTGATATTTGATTGAGAGATAAAAACGGAGAGAACCTGTTTTGGCAAAATTAGGTTTCTAAGAGTTAGCACCCTTTTCTGACCACAGTCCTTGGCCTTGGCCCTGACCCCAGGCCTGGAGGGTTCTGGATGGCGTGGGGGCCCAGGATGAGTGTTCCCAGGGTGAGGACTTGGCACCAGGCATCTTGCTGTCTGCTGGCGTTGGATCCTGTGGTGGGCATCGCTGACAATCCTTGCTGGTGGGCAGGTTCCCAAGCTGAGCAGTAAGGGAGTGAGGGCAGGCCGCCCGGGGGGAAGTGAGGCTCTGGACCAGCAGAGAGTCGGGGATGTGCCCCAGGGGCGGGAGCACGCAGGTCCCCAGTGGAGCAATGGCCTGTTGGTGAGGGCCATGGCAGGGGCCCCAGGAGGGGGCCAGGTGTGGGGAAGGCGTCCTGCCAAAACAGCCGTGGTCATGGCTGGGCGTGAGTGCCGGGGTCTGCGGGCCGTTGGTTTGGGGAGAAGCAGCCTGCTGGGGCCTCGGATTTCTCATCACACCCAGAAGCCTGGGCTCGGATCAGAACCCCCGACCTGATGTTTGTGGCAAATTCACCTCTTGGTTTCTCTTGTCAGCTTGACCTGGTGCCATGCACCTGCAGCAGGATGCTGGCAGCAGAATGCAGCTGTGGCACCAACCCTATGCACGCATGCTCACACCAGCCTAGGCATGGGGCACCTGGGGATGGGCCGGTGCTAAGTTGTACAGGACGGGGGTTAGGCAAGCACGGGAAGGGGACTTAGCTGTTGGGAAGTGTGCCCAAAGGAAGGGAGAAGGGGGCCTCCTGTGCTTGCCCTCACAGGGTTTCAGGGAGCAGAAGGCAGGCTGACCCACTTAGAAACCGGCTCCTTTCAAAGCCTCGTGGCTGAGACAGGGGCTGCTTTAAGTGGGTCAGCCTGGATATACGCGTTGATCTTAAACTCTTCAAAACTTGGCTATTAAACGTCCGTATCCTGTTTTCATTAGCTTGTGAGCCACAGAGCCCCGCCTGCTTTTCTGAAGCGGCAAGTGTGCCCAGAGGCTAATAAACAGCAGACGCTGCCAATAAATAGGATTTTAACACTCACTGTCCGTGTGGGTGCAAATAAACCTGGGAAATGAAAGGTGGGAGTCGAGCTGTTCATGCGCGTTACACAGTTTCTGAGCTGTTTTGAACTGAGAGCTGCAGTGTGACTGTGTATGTCTGTTTTACAGGTGCAGGGCTGTGTACTGTGTGGTGAGTGTGCTTTTGTGGACAGTGTGTGTGGAAAGGAGTATGCTATGTGCGTGTGCGTGTGTGTGTGTGTGTGTGTGAGAGAGAGAGAGAGAGAGAGAGAGAGAGAGAGAGAGAGAATCAACCACCAAGGGCAGGTGTTTGGTCAGTGATTGGGATCTCCATGTCCCACATTGGAGCGCTTTGGGTTCCAGTCCCAGCTCTGCTGTTGACTCCAGTTTCCTGCTAATGGGTACCATGCAGCAGGTGATGGCTCAAATCATTAGGTCCCCACCACTCGTGTGAGAGACCTGGACGGAGTTCCTGGCTCCCAGCTTTGGCCTGGCCCAGTCCTGGCTGTTATAGGCCTTTGGAGAGTGAGCCAGCAAATGGGAGATCTTTGTCTCTTTCAAATGAAAAAAATATAAATAAAAGACTCCACTGGGGCCGGCACCGTGGCTCACTTGGTTAATCCTCCGCCTGCGGCACCAGCATCCCATATGGGCACCGGGTTCTAGTCCTGGTTGCTCCTCTTCCAGTCCAGCTCTCTGCTGTGGCCCAGGAAGGCAGTGGAGGATGGCCCAAGTGCTTGGGTGCCTGCACCTGTGTGGGAGACCAGGCGGAAGCACCTGGCTCCTGGCTTCGGATCAGCGCAGCGCAGCGCCAGCCATGGCAGCCATTTGGGGGGTGAACCAATGGAAGGAAGACCTTTCTCTCTGTCTCTCTCTCTCACTGTCTAACTCTGTCAAATAAATAAATAAATAAAAGTGCAGTAGGAAAACATGGACCATGGTTATTTAAAAAAAAAAAAGAGACTCCACCACCAGATTGGCTGGAGACAAAACCAGCTCCGTAATTTGCAGGGGCCTGGTGCAAAGACCAGAGTGTGGGCCTGAATTTCCAGGGGGCAACCACAGGGCATGAGACTAAGCCAGGGGCTTCTTGGTGTTCAGGGGAGGTACCCACCTTTGGTGCCAGGCCTGACGGGAGGGAGTGCACTGCCTCGTCGCCCTTCAGCCTCCTTGCTCCTTGAAAAATCCTGGCGCCCCCTCTGCCCTCCCGCTGACTATGACCCCACAGGGTGGGGAGGAGGCCGAGGCAGCCTGCAGAGGGGCTGCAGGGGCGGCTGCCAGGACCTGGCCTCTGCTGACGCTCCCGTTCCATTCGGGGCCTCCATGGACTGTCTGTCACCCTCAGCACCTTGCGCCAGAGCCGGCTCTTTAGAAGGTCGGGTCCCTGGGCCGGCGCCGTGGCTCACTTGGTTAATCCTCTCCTGCGGCACCAGCATCCCATATGGGCGCCGGGTTCTAGTCCTGGTTGCTCCTCTTCCAGTCCAGCTCTCTGCTGTGGCCCGGGAGGGCAGTGGAGGATGGCCCAAGTGCTTGGGTCCTTGTACGCGCATGGAAGACCAGGAGGAAGCACCTGGCTCCTGGCTTCGGATCGGCGTAGCTCTGGCCGTAGCGGCCATTTTGGGGGGTGAACCAACAGAAGGAAGACCTTTCTCTCTGTCTCTCTCTCTCCCACTGTCTAACTCTGTCAGCCCACCACTCCCACCTGCACTGTGGGTCCCCGCCTGCCACCCTTCAGGCTCCTCTCCCCCCGGAACTGTGCACCCCAGAAGTCATCAGACAGCAGCATCTGTCTGGGGAGCAGGGGGTTCCCTGCAGCAGACCGAGGCCGCCCTGGCTCACGACGATTTGCTGAATGCTCCTGGGGGAGCCGAGCAGCAGCGGGGCAGAATTCGCTGGCAGAGCTCCCAGCCCACAACCCTGCAGGCAGGAGTGTGGCGGGCGGGGATGCCCCAGTCCTTCCTGTTGATTGTCCTGGTTTGCCTCTTCTCGGGTCAAGGGCAGCGTGCCTGCTTGCGAGCACACTCAGGAGATGCTAATGGGTACTAATGAGGGTGTCCTGCCTCAATACCGATATTGTCAATAATTAGCTGGAATTTCCTGGGCGCTGGGAGGAGGCAATGCCACCTGGCCTGGCTCGGCTGGTTTAGCTCATTCACGTACCAGCAGCATAGCCATTCCAAGGTCCTTGGGTACTTCCGGGGTACTGGCATCTCCCAGGAGTTAAGGGTACATGAGAGCCCCTCCTCCACCACGCTCTGATCCTAGCCATGGACAGGCTCCCAAATTCAGCCACAGGCTGACCCCGACTCCTCCCATAAGATCCCAGGGTGCAGCTGTGTGAACAGATGCAACCTGGGAGGCCTCCCTGGGGAGGCGGCCTGCCTCAAGTCACAGCAACCCAGAGACATGGAGATGGGGGAGGGGGCAAGGTGGGTGCCAGGTCTTTGCTCAGAGAAGTGATTTAGGCCCACGTGGCTGAGGTGGGGTGGGAACTGTTATGGACTTACTCAGCACTGGTAACAGGGCTTTGCCTGCATCAGACAAGGTCACCAAGGCCACCATACAAGGGAGTGATGACAAACTGGCTTTCCAGGGAAGAAAAGAGTCTAGATTTAGCATTTGCCAATTTTTTTAAAAGACTTATTTATTTGGAAGCAGAGTTAACAGAGAGAGAGAGAGAGGAAGAAACAGAGCGAGATCGTCCATCCTCTGATTCACTCTTCAAATGGCCGCAGTAGCTGGGCTGGGCCAAGCCAAAGCCAGGCGCTTCATCTGGGGCTCCCATGTGGGTGCAGGGGCCTAAGCACTTTGGGCCATCTTCTGCTGCCCTCCTGGGCACATTAGGGAGCCACATCGGAAGTGGAGCTGCCAGGGCTCGAACCAGCGCTCATCTACAATGCCAGCAGTGCAGGCAGCGGTCCGACCTGCTGCGCCACAATGCCAGCCCCATCATTTGCCAATTTTTGTGGTATAAATACTCGCATCAAGCCCAATTTCAAGCTGCCACTTGGCTGTTCCTGAATATTTAACAATCAATTCTTGCCTACTGGCCACTGAGCCCACTACCCTAATCAGAAGCCCCCACCTAAGATCTCTCCCAGACTTCCCCAGACCTAAGATCTCTCTCCTGAGCCCAGCACCCCACTTCCTTGGCTTTGCAAAATGCTCTTACCCAGCCTCTGGCTGGCTCAGGGCCTGAGAAAGGCTGTTTAAGCTCCTTGTGCCCAAGAGTCCTGGAGTAAGGGCTGGTGTGCCTTGCAGGCACCCACGCTCACACAGGTGATGGATATGAAATGACTTTGCCAAAGTGAGATCAAACCAAATCTAGGGACGTCCCAAGGGACCACCTCTTCGTAGCTTAAGAGCCATGGTGAGTGCTGACTTCCACATCTACCCTCGTGGTTTGAAAGGCGTTTGGGGATGGCCCCATCCGAGTGTATGTGCTGACAGGTCCCCCTCCCTGGGTCACGTGCTTGCCTCCTCACTCACTCCCACTTCCGGGGACCAGGTGTCTGATGTGGTGAGTACCAGGGAGCCAGGAAGCCACAGGGTCTGTGCCCTGGGTCACAGAACAACGCCCATCCCAGAGGCTGGGAATCTCTCCACAAACCCCATTTGCAGAAGGGGTTTCCTGTTCTTGCCGGGCCCTGTCTATGGACACAGGTGCTATCATTGTGCAATCCTCTCCAAGACCCACCTGGTCTTGACACCTTGCCAGTGACTCTATTTCCCCTTCCTCTGGGCGCCTGGAATGCCACCACGGCCCCACCTTAGCCAGGCAGCTGAGCTGAGAGGTGTGAACCCAGCTGCCTCTCCACTGGCTCACCGCGTCTGGTGGAAGGCACGGGAGACCGCAGCAGCAGGTGAGGGTCTCACAGCGTGGTTGGGTGATGCCAGAGTACTCGTGGGACTTAACCAGGCACAGGGTGGTAAGTGGCATAGGGGGTTGATGAGGAGTTCCAGGCCGGGAATAACAGCCCCAGAGCCACAGGTGTGCGGCTGAGCCCTCAATACTCCCCCTGCCCCGCCTCCTTACTCTCTTCTGCTCAGTGAATAGCTCGCTGTCAGCCATGAGCCTGGCAGAGAACACTCTCAGATCCCACAGTAGGTCTCGCTGAGGGATGCAGACAACCCCACACGCCAGCTCGGGGAGCCCCAGGCTGCCGCATCGCAGGAATGAGCCATCGGAGCACCCTGTGACACAGGATGGGAACAGGGGAGAAGGCTCCATGGAGGAGGCGACATTTGGATGGACTCATGGAAGTGGGCGGTGCCATCTCCCTGCACAGGCCCAGGTCAGGCCTCTGGCCCGCAGACCTGCAGATCTGCTCCGTGGGCCTCTGCAAGACGTCCAGAGCTGCCCCTCAGCTCCAGCAGCAGGGGCCACGCCCACAGCCCCTCCAGCCAAAGCCTCCCGGGTCCTCAGCATCAGCATGGCCAACACCATGGCCAAGCCTCCCCCTCGAAAAACGAAAGCGGCAGTGACAGCCCCTCCCCCAGCTTGCTTGTGCCATAAACGGCCCAGGCCAAGAGTGGGAGAGGAGGGGCTTTGTTGCCTTGGAAAAGGGCTCTTGGGAGGGCTCCTGGAGAGTGAGGGGGGCCAGGCAGGGAAGGGACAATAAGCATGGGTGGCACCCGATGGGACCCGCCCCCACCCACGGTGGAAGCCGGACCCTGGATTCCCGCATCCGCTCTCAGAAGTTCAAGATCACACCAGCCACTTGCGGGCCTTAATGAGAGCCCACAGGCTGAGGCCGAGCTCCAGAAACGGCTGACTGGATTAGGAGTGATCAATGAGAGCAAATTCCTGCAGCAGCTGAGTTCCTGTGAGATGATTGTATGTGAGTGTGAATGTGACGGTGCGTGTGTGCCTTGTATGACAGTGTGTGAATGTGTATATATGTGTGACTGAGTGTGTGAATGTGAGAGTCTGTGTGTCCGTGGCTGTGAATGTGTGTGTATGTGTAAGCATGAGACTGTGTGCATGTGTATGTATGGTGTGTGTGTGTGTGTGTGTGTGTGTGTGGCTGAGTATGCACGTGTGTGTGTAAGCTGAGTGATGGTGTGTGTGAGTGTGCGTCCTCACTCATTTGAAGCCCATTTCTGTGCACTCTCGATTCTGGGACCTTGCTCTGTCTCCCTCTCCAGGGAGTCACAGAGGCCCCCATACTCGGGGAATGTGTGAGAGATGCCTGCCCAGTGAATGCAAGCTCCCTTTCTGTGGCCAGACTGGCCCAGGTAGGGGGGAGGGTGAGGCCAAAGGGGCTTCCCCAGCCTGAAGGGTGCCGGCCTCTGGTCCTGCCTCCCCTTCTCCCACTGATGACAGAGATGACACACACCGGGTGTCCTCACCTCGGTTGTTCTGGGACACAGGCTGGGAAGGGGACCTGGGGAGCCCCCTCCCCGCTGGGACTGCCTTTCTCGCCACGTGGGCTGGCCTGTCTGTCCTGGGATGGATGCAGAAGGGCGAGGCACCCATCCTGCTAGTCGGGCAGGATACTGGTGGGAGGGCGGGACCAGGAGGGGTGGGGCTTCCAGAACAAAGGAGAATGGGGAGCCCTGGGGGCCCAGGCTCAGCATCAAAAAGCCTGTGCAGAGCGAGCAGGCCACACAGTGCCTGCCTCTGCGCCCAGCAGCCAGCCAGCCAGCCAGGCCCCTGTCCTCCTGCTTGCCCACGCCGGGCGAGTGCACACCGCCTGCTCAGAGAGGCCCTGCTCTCCAGCGTGATTGCGCCCACACTGCTCTGTGGCTTGCTCTACCTGGCGTGGGTCGCCGCTGAAGTTCCAGAAGGCAGCAGAGGGATGGCCGCCAGCAGAGCCAGGAGCCAGGAAGGCCGCCGGGCACGCACTTTCCTCCCGGAGACTTTTGACGGAGCCAATGTAGCCCCGAGCCTCTGGCTGCACCGCTTCGAGGTCATCAGCGACCTCAACGAGTGGGACCATGCCACCAAGCTCAGGTTCCTGAAGGAGGCCCTCAGGGGAGACGCCCTGGAGGTCTACAGTGGACTTGGTGCCCAGGACCAGGGGGACTACGGAGCTGCGCGAGAGGCCCTCCTGCAGGCCTTCGGGGGCCCCGGGGCCGCCTCCGGCCCCCGGCCCAAGGAGATCGTGTTCGCCAACAGCATGGGTAAGGGCTACTACCTCAAGGGGAAGATTGGCAAAGTGCCCGTGAGGTTCCTGGTGGACTCCGGGGCCCAGGTGTCCGTGGTGCACCCCAGCTTGTGGGAGGAAGTCACCGACGGCGACTTGGACACCCTGCGGCCCTTTGAGAATGTGGTGAAGGTGGCCAACGGGGCAGAAATGAAGATCCTGGGCGTGTGGGACACAGTGGTGTCCCTGGGCAAGCTGAAGCTGAAGGCCGAGTTCCTGGTGGCCAACGCGAGCGCGGAGGAAGCCATCATCGGCACGGACGTGCTGCAGGACCACAACGCCGTCCTGGACTTCGAGCATCGCACCTGCACCCTGAAGGGGAAGAAGTTCCGCCTCCTGCCCGTCGGGGGGTCTCTGGAAGACGAATTTGACCTGGAGCTCATAGAGGAGGAGCCCTCCCCCGAGCAGGAGCTCTCCTATTGAGAAGCCCCTCTTCCCGCCCAGGCCCGGTGTGTGTGGGGGGGTCACATCCTCAGGGGGAGTTCCTGGGCTTAGCTGTCCTGCACAACCCACTCTTCTCCTCTTCCCCTCCCTCTGCAGGGCCTTACCCTGCCCCTGGGGATGGGGGGAGGTTTCCAGGGAGCAGGCACAGGGGAGGGAGAGCAGTGGGGGGAGGGTCCCCGTGGTCACCAAGCTGCTGTTGGTGGCAAAGACAGAAAGGCTGGAGAAGTTTCCAAGGGAACCGGGATTGTTGGTCTTTGGGTGGGAACTCGGGGACCCCTTCAGATCCCCTGAGGTGTAGCCTGGTCACCTTCAGGCTCAGGAAGCCTGCTCAGCGGGGCTCGGGCCTGGCTGCAGGATCCTCGGAGCCAGGCCCAGCTGGCAGGTGACAGGTGCGGAAGGATGCCTCCCTGGTGACTCTTCCCACCTGCGCAGGCCCAGGTTTCCTTCTGTCATTTGCTTTGAACCCCACTGAGCCTGTGCCAATAATCCAGATACTTCAATACCCAATAAAGACCGATTCGTGCAGAAAGCATGCCGTATGTTGCTTGGGGTTGAATGGAATGAATGGGGTGGGGGAGGCCAGGGGAAATGTCAGCGACAAGGGAGCTTCAAGGACTCGCCGAGAGCCCGGGCTGGATGTCAGACAACTTGTGCAGTGACTGTGTATCTTGGGTTTTCTAAGACAGCCTTAATTCTAAACATGTGGCTTCATTCCCTCCATAACTTCTCCTATTATTTATTTTTAAAGATTTATTTATTTGAAAGGCAGAGTTTGGGAGGGGAGAGAAACAGAGCTTCCACCTGCTGGTTCATTCCCCAAATGGCCGCCAGTGGCCAGGGCTGGGCCAGGCTGAAGCCAGAAGCCAGGAGCCAGGAGCTTCTTCTGGGTTTCCCATGTGAGTGCAGGGACTTGGGCTATCTCCTGCTGCTTTCTAAGGCCGTTAGCAGGGAGCTGGATTTGAAGTGGAGCAGCCAGGACGCGAACCTGCACCCATATGGGATGCCGGCATTGCAGATGGCAGCTTTACCCACTGCACCACAGCTCCAGCCCCTCCTATCAATTCTAATAATCGAATCGTAATCTTTAATTATTTCAATCAATAATATTTTGGCACCCAAATTGCCCCTTATACCCAAAAGTGACACAAAAGTTATTTGTGAGATGCCTTGATTGAGGACTGGAAAAGCGTGGTTATTGCAAATAAATGAGTTACCTCCCGGGCAAGTAAGTTCTCATGGCCACCCCTGAGCCGGAACGCAAGGCAGAAAGCAAGGCCGGGGGACAGTGCTGACCTGCGTGGGGCTGCCCAAGGGGCTTCTGGAGGACGGGGAGGAGGCAGCAGTAGGGGTTCCCACAGCTTCTTCCTGGAGGGAATTGTAACGGGGTCTGGAAGCGGAGAGGACATGCAGAGCGGGGACATCCCCAGGCCTGGGGACGGAGGTGCCCCTCTCTGTGTTTGCTGCCAACGTCTTGCTTCTTCCTCTGGGACTCAGCAGGGCTGGGAGGCTGCAAAGCCAGCAACCCAAAGGGAGAAGCTGAGAGGATGGAACTTTCCAGAAGGGAACAGATCTGTTCCAAATCTCAGGCCTCCCAACCAAGTACATCAGGGGAGCCGTGGCCCATACCCTCCAAGCTGAGCGTGGGCCCCGGAGGGCACAAGACAGTGGGTGCAAGGCCTGAGGCTGGGACATGTGGCACCTTGGCACCTCCAGGGAGCCCAAGGGACCCAGAGCTTGGACAGCCTCTTGATGGGAGGCATGAAGGGCCATTTTCCCTTCCTGAGGATGTGGGGTGTGTCTCTTCTAGAAGTTTCCACTTGGACAACTCCCGAAGGAAAGACAAGCAGCCTGAGCAGGAGCTGGAAGACAGGTGGAGTCTTCTTGAGAAGTTGCTGGGCGCTTGCCTCTGCACCTCTCGAAGCCTACCTGAGCCAACCACCACCCAGCCCCTGACCCCAGCCCCTTCCTCCTGCAGGGCACCCCGCGACTCCCCTGGGAACTGAGGCATGGCTCAACCCTAACCCCAGGGCTCACTAAAGTCCTCCCTGGGCAGCTGGGCATCTTAACAGCCCCAGTCAGTACCTGTGGGGTGGAGGGCAGGTGCAGCACGGGGGGGCGGGGGAGCGGAGGCCTGGAGAGGGGGCTGGTCTTGAGCCTCCTCAGTCTGGCATCTCCTTGTCTGGTCTGTTTTTCAGCTCTCTTCTCGGCTGTGTCACGAATACTGTGAAACAACCCAGGTGGCACCTCCCCATGACCTGTTTTCCTCTGCATCCTTCCAATCCTAGCCACGTGCGGGGCTGATGGAGGGAAGGTGTTTGGTGGGGAGGGGGCTGGAGAGTTGAGTGACCAGGCCAGAACCCAGGGCACCAGCTAAGCCGTCCCTGTCCTTCCCCCCCAACACACACCAAGGAGCTGAGCCCTACTTTGGGCCCTCTGGGCCGGCTCCCAGCCATCGACCTCTCGTGGGGCAGCAGGCTGCTGGACAGGCCCAGGGAGGGGTGGGTCTGTGACCTGGAGCGGGCATGAGACCAGGGCAGGGCCGCGTGGGTGTGAGAGTCATTACAAATGCGGCCGTGGGAAGGTGGGGCCTGCCCTCCTGAAGCCGGTATCAAAGGGGGAGCCAGGGAGGGAAGCCAGGAGAAGCGGGTCGTAGCCACATCACAGAGGGCTTGCTGCACAGTGAGGAGCTCACACCTGACCCCTGTCTGAGCCGGGAGGAGCACAGGCAGGAGCCTCTGGCTGTCAGATGGAATCACACAGCAGCAAGAATCCAGTTTGCCAGCGAGGTCTGACGGAGACGATGATAAGGAGGGTGCAGGCTGAAGGTTTTTGTTTCTTGGGACAGAGGGAGGGGCAGAGAACTCTCATCCACTGGTTCATTCCCCAGATGCCTGCAACAGCTGGGGCTGGGCCTGTGGAAGCCAGGAGCTGGGAATGCAATCCAGGTCTCCCACCTGGGAGGCAGGGACCCAACTACTTGAGCTGACACCACTGCCTCACAAAGCGAGCGTTAGCAGGAAGCTGGAACTGGGAGCTGGGGACTTGAACCCAGGCACTCCGAAATGGGGTGTAGCTGTCTTTTTTTAAAAAAGATTTATATATTTATTTATTTGAAAGGCAGAGTTACAGAGAGGCAGAGAGAGAGAGAATCTTCCATCCGCTGGTTCACTTCCCAAATGGCCACAATGGCCAGAGCTGGGCTGATTTGAAACCAGGAGCCAGGAGCTTCTGGGTCTCCCACATGGGTGCAGGGGCCCAAGCACTCAGGCCATTTTCTGCTGCTTTTCCCAGGCCATTAGCAGGGAGCTGGATCAGAAGTGGAGCAGCTAGGACTTGAATCGCACCCATATGGGATGGCGGCACTACAGGCAGCAGCTTTACCTGCTACACCACAGTGCTGGCATTTATTTAGTCTTATTTTTTATTTTTTAAAAAGATTTATTTATTTATGGGGGTCAGTGCTGTTGCACAGCGGGTTATGCCCTGGCTTGAAGTGCTGGCATCCCATATGGCCACCGGTTCGGGAACTGGCTGCTCCTCTTCGGATCCAGCTCTCTGCTATGGCCTGGGAAAGCAGAAGATGGCCCAATTCCAGACCCCTCCACCTGTGTGGGAGACCTGGAAGAAGCTCCTGGCTCCTGGCTTTGGATCAGTGCAGCTCCAGCCATTGCAGCCATCTGGAGAGTGAACCATCGGATGGAAGATCTCTCGATCTCTCTCTTTCTCTCTCTCTCTCTCTCTCTCTCTCTCTCTCTCTCTCTCTCTCCGTGCCTCTTCTCTCTCTGACTTGCAAATAAATCTTAAAAAAATATTTATTTATTTATTTGAAAGTATTACACAGAGAGAGAAGGAGAGGCAAAGAGAGAGGTCTTTCATCCTCTGGTTCACTCCCCAATTGGCTGCAACTGCTGGAGCTGCGCCAATCCGAAGCCAGGAGCCAGGAGCTTCCTCTGGGTCTCCCATGTGGGTTCAGGAGCCCAAGGACTTGGGCCATCTTCTGCTGCTTTCCCAGGCCACAGCAGAGAACTGCATCAGAAGTGGACAGCCGAGACTGTCATGTCTTTAATCTTGAATTTGAACTGGCACCCATATGGGATGCTGGCCCTACTTTACCTGCTGTGCCACAGCGCCGGCCCCATTTATTTTATTTTTAAACTTTTGTTTTGAAACACTTTCAGAACCACAGAAAGTTACAGGAGTAGTCCAGAGAATTTCCATAGGCCCTACCCAGTTGCCCCAAATATTCACATTTTACCAATTATTGATCATTCGCTTACCCCCATTCCTTCTGTATGTACAGGAACTACTTGAAAATTGCAAATAGGATGTATATTTTCAAAAGTACATTCTCTCGTGCAACTACAAGAAAGTCATCAAAATCAGGAAATTCACCTGGTGATAAAACTAAACTTTATTTCAATTTTCCCAATTATCCCCAAAATCTTTTTTAAATAGATTTATTTATTTGAAAATCAGAGTTACGAACTCTGGGGAGGGGAGGGTGATGGATGAGGTGAGAAAGAGAGAGAGAGAGAGAGAGAGAGAGAGAATCTTCCATCTGCTGGTTCACTCTCCAAGTGGCCTCAATGGCCAGGCTGAAGCCAGAAGCCAGGAGCTTCTTCTGGGTCTCCCACATGGGTGCAGGGGTCTTAACACTTGAATCTTCTGCTGCTTTTCCCAGGCCATTAGCAGGGAACTGGATAGGAAGTGGAGTAGCCAGGACTGGAACTGGTACCCATATGGGATGCTGGTGTCACAGATGGCGGCTTTATCCGCTGTGCCACAACACTGGCCTCTATCCCCAAAATCTTTATAACAAAAGGAAAAAATAATATTTCCTAGCACAATATCTAATTCAGCTACATGTTGCGTTTAACTGTCATGTCTTTAATCTCTTGAATTTGAACAATTTATCAGTCCATCTTTGTTCTCATGAGCTTGCCGTATAAAATATTTAATTATTTAATTTGAAAGACACAAAGAGCTCCATCCACTGCTTCACTCCCCAGACGTCTGCAATGACCTGAGCCACACCGAAGCCCAGAGCTGGGAGCTCCACCTGGGCCTCCCGCGTGGGTGGCAGGGACCCAAGTGCATGAGGCACCACCTGCTGCCCCCCGAGGTGCACTGGAGTTGGCAGCGGCATTGGAACTTGAACCCCGACATTCCAAGAGGCTACTCACTGCTGTAGACATTTTGAAGAGACCTGTCCGGTGACTTCGTATCACGTCCCTCCCTTTGGGCACATCTGATGTTTTCTCATGATTGGTTTCAGGTTATGCGTTCTGGACAGGAACGCCTTCGAGTGTGGGTGTGTCCTCAGCACGTGCTGTCACCGGCCCCAGGCTGCCCACTTGTTCCACAGCTGCTGGTGTTCACTTTGGTTGCTGGGTCAAAGTCTCTTCACAGTAAGCAGCTGTTTTCCCTGTGTGATGCGTACGTGCCTCACCGGGCGACTCTGGGGCTATTTCAGTCCCCAGCTTCTCACCCACTAGATTAGCACCCGTCGGTTATTACTGTGATGGCCAG